TCATAAATGTCAAAATTTTGAGCATACTTTTTTCCCAAAACATTATTACAGTAACCTCGGGTAACATTTCTTCCTCACCTTATACGAAGATACAGATCGTTGCTGGTTTGGTGTCCAAAATGGCGGACAACAGGTTGATAGGTTAGCTGGATCCATGTCCAGGCCAAGTCCAACTAAGTAATCATTGAACTTGAGATTTTTGAATTCAATCCAACTTCAGGTGTCCTTTTTTTCAGGTCTCTTCGTTTTTCCTCCCTCCCTTGACTTCTAATGCACGACAGCATGAGCTACCTTCCATGCTGCCAAGCCATGTGATACTCTGGGCTACTAACTTGACTATTTGAAATGAGGCATGATCAGCTATTAATTTCACATACCTTTAACCCTTCTGGCCGTTAGCTTGTCCTAGATTTCTGCTTGTTGTTCAAAGTCATGCATGTCCTGATGATGATTAATCAATCAAGCATTTGAGATTGCACACAAAAATATTAGTGATATATATATGCACATGATGGTATGCATAAGAATCCCATCAAAGGGCTACAAGCTCATGCCTATAGCACTGAAGTATTGGACTGCCATTTTGGCACAGAAGTATTGCAGATAAAAATGCTTGTTCCTGGTCTAGTTAACACCCGGCCACATGTTGTCACAGTGGGTCAATGTCAGTCCCCATTTGTGAAGGTTGGTGAATTCCATTAAGAGGATGCAGAGAATGGTTGTTTGATCTAATTTCAAACCCACTATTGAAAACTCTACTCGAATATGAAACACCAAATGCTATCTGTTTTCGGGTTGGTGCATGAATTGGTGTCTTGTGTAAGTATAGAAGTGCTCCACAGCTCGAGAAGAAACTTGGTATAACAAAGGGTAACTTTCAATTTGGCCCACGGATTTATCTATTGTCTCAATTTCACCTAAAAAATTTTCATTTGTTTCAGTTAGATCCTGTATCTTTATTTTTGTTCCATTATGTGTAAATTTCAATTTCATCTCTAAAGTTTATAAAATATCTCAATATAACCCCAAAATAATGAATGAACAAATTGAAATTAAAAAAAAAATCAAGACATTTTTTAATGAACGTGTGTGCGTGTATATATATCTACACTATCTAATAGTTTTTTGGCAATAACAAAATAAAATTAAGTTGAAAATAAATAAGATAAAAATATATATTTTTTAATTAATAGTATCAACCACCACCGTCCTTACCTCTCATCTCATCCATTCTGTTACTATCATATCATATCTTTATTGTTTATCCAATTTTTTTTTTAAATCTTGAACAAGAATTTTGAAAAGAAAAATAAACAAATTAAAATCCCTCATTATTATGACTAGAATGGTACGTAGCTTGATTATAGGATAATTTTATTTTAGTTAGAGCAAGCTTATTTTTAAATATCAGAAGTACTATTTGATGTTGTCATAATTTTTTAAAAATTTGTGTATTTTAACATAGAGGATTAAATGAGATAGAAATATTTGATAAAGAGGCTACGTTTTTGAGTTGTAAGAAGTAAGAAAATTATGGAGAGCAATTAATGTATTTTTATTTGAAAATGTATGAGAAATTGAAAAGTATAAGGACTAAAGTGGGAAGTATGAAAAATTAAGGGAGGCAATGATCCTCCTTCCACTGTACCTTGCTTTCCCACTGAACCCATTTCAACTAAGTACCTTCTCACTTACGTCTTACCAAGGCCGTCCAAACCCAGATGGATGCATTTATTATTTTTTTTAAAAAAAAAATTCTCACCCCTTTCCTTCAATTGAAACCCAAAATTTTCAAAGTCGAGAGTAAATTCATTCGCCACTTGACTCCAAGTTATTGTCGAAAACCTTTATTCATTTTGGTTGAGATTCCTGCTTCTAAGACAACAAACTTTTGTTGCACTTTGTAGATTAATCCTTACCCGGAAAATTTTGCCAATTTACCTTCCTCAGTGTTATTTGACGTTGATTACAAATATGGAGCTTAAATATGATCTTGTTCTCATTTTAGCACAAATCCTGTTTGATTACTATTATGTATTACAACCAGACCATCCAATATTATGCATGGGACTGTAGGCGTAGAATAACGAGACAAATAGTTGTGTACTAAAAAAAAAAAAACAGTCGTCTTTTGAAAATAAGGTTTTACTAGCAAATTTGCCGGGGTTTTTTGGTGGAGATGTTGTTTATGTGTGAGATTGTGTTTATTAAAATAGATATTGCAACATGGATGGATTAGTTAAGTTTTTTATTCTCATACAATTTGTTTAAATATAATATTTAATAAAATATAGATTTTTGTAAGATTAAAGTACTGAATCTTTAATTATCTATAAGATAATGTATAATCAGATATTGAAGTTTTAATACCTTTACACCTACATTTTTGATAATTAAATGGTTCAATTCTTGTTGATCTATCCAAACTTTTATAGCACACATTTATTACTAAAAACATTTATTATAGAAAAAATAAGGAAAAAAAAAAAAAAACAACACAACACAACACACACATGTACAAGGATAACTCTATTATATTTGATATTATTATAATATTCAATGGACATTAAATAAATTTGTATATAAAATTTTTAAATCTATTATCTTTTTGTTCGAATGATTGGCATGTATTTTTCTAAACACTACAATATTATTTATTTATTTTTTGTTATCTTCTATGAACAAAAATATATTTTACACAACACACGTTACATAATAAAAATAACAAATTATTATATGTTTAATATTATAAAATTTTCTGAATCCGTATGATATTATTGTATTTTTATATATTTTAAATTTATCAAGGTGAATAAAATTTAAAAAACTTTAAGTCTATTTTTTTATTACAAAACACCATATTTGGATTTTAAAACAAAGGGGTTTGAATTAATTCTATATAGCATATAAATCAAATACCTTAAAAAATATTATGATAATTTTTTATTTTGGAAGGAAAATAAATATTTTTTTAGCCTAAAAATAAAACAAAATTAAAAAAGAAAAGAAGAATTTAGAAAAAGAAAGAAGGAAAGAAGTGGCGGGCTTGGCTAGCATTATTGGGCCACCGCACAGGCCCGTTTCTATTTGAGCCAGGAGAAAAAGGCCCAGCCCCAGACAATTTAAAAAGAGAGAGAATGACAGGCGGACGACGCGTCATGTGCAGAAATAAAAAAATAAAAAATGCGTTGTCCGTTTTATCTTCCCCAGACTAGAAAGTTATACTTGCGGGAATTCTGACCTAAAATTATTTTTCTGCCATTTTTGGTCAAAAACACCTCAAATTCATGCTAAATACTTTAAGAAATCTATTTCCAACCTCAAAAACTATTTTAATTCTCCCTAAAATGATAAAAGGACAGTTCAATTATCAATTCTCATTTTTCAGTCAAACATTTGATCTACTTTTTCGATATCTTTTTTCAGTATCGTTGAATCTCCCAAAGCATCGTCAATGGACTCTGGAGGTTGAAATCCACTAATTAGAAGCAAAATCAACTCCATAGACCGTAGAATTGTGTGTGGTGTTTCCATTATTTTCTCTCTTAAAAACAATAGCGCAGGGACTTTTTTAAACATTTATTTTTTTTATACATTAAGATTGAAAATTAACATAATCAGTAGAGAATTGAGATAAGAAATTGTGATGACATAATTAAATTTCTCCTACCACAATATGCTGGAATTCTCTTCTTCCATCTTTACGGATTACAATCTATCGAATTAATCCACGAATCCCATTTCGGCTGGCAGATTTCTCAGTAGTTTTCAGAGTTAAGAAAGCATTAATACCGGGTTCTCACACGGAGCGAAGGAAGAAAGTTCTAAAGTGTGGCTGCAATTGATGATAGTGCAGTACTTGGCTTCTCAAGAGGAAACATGATGTACGATGGGTCTTGATCCTTGAAAAAGGAATACCGAAAGTATAAGACAAGCTACTTCCACATGCGCAAGTATAATGACAGAATCTTTACATTGCTTCGCTATATTTTATCAATTGCAAATCTTATTTACATGATGATATCTTTCACTACTTTATTTTTTTTAGCCGAAAAATAATAGAATAATTAGCAGCGAGAGGTGGGTAACGTGAACTTCAAGAGAAAGATAGTTGACAAATCATACATGCTACGAGTAATTATATATTTGCATCTAATAATAAATTCAATGCACAAGAAATAATAGATGGACTAATGGCTAATTATATCTGAGTGAAGTCTAAGAGTACAGCTATCAATTATCAGCTTGCTTAAGTTTTAAGTAAGATACCTTATATTTCTTCCTTGAAAAAAAGAGCAAGGTACGTTATCTATTGACTCTCAATGAATTTTACCCTAATTAGAATATCATCTCTATCTGGGTGGCAAAAAAATTGGAAAAAACTTAATGAAGATTTGCATGGATGACAATGTAGATTTCCAAATTCCAAGCATGGCCCAACGAAATGATCAGTGTGAAGGAAGGTAGCAATACTATATGTGCATGAGATGAGCGATCTCTTGGCTTCCACCGATTAAGTCCCACCAATTAACAAAATGTTAATGTTATTTTCTGTGGACCCATGACCTCATGTGCAGGATTAATGAACCTATGGAGATGGTGGTTAGCCACTGACCATTTTGAGTGGTCCTGAAATTGAATGCCCCTGCTCATTAATGTAGAAGACAAGTACAAAGTTGCCACCTTCTACATACATTCTTGAAAATCTTGCATACAGTGACAATAGAGGAAACTAAAATCACAAACCATAGTATATTCACTAATATTTTCTGTTCTTTTTTTTTTTTTTTCCTCCACATTTACATAAGTCCCTAAAGAGGTATACTTGATAAATCGCCTGTTGACTGTTAGTTGAGAAGAAAGAAAAAACAAATATGGATTAATAAGGAAATAAATATAAGAATAGCCCAAACTGACGGAGTGATCTCGAGATGAAACCCATATCACCCAACAAGAAAAAAAAAGTAATAAGAAAAAAAAATCCCCCCTATACCATTCCCTTAGGGACATCTCACATTTCTTCCAGGTCCTCCATAGTAAAAATAATTACCCCAAACTCTATTAATTCCTCCTTGTATATCATAGCAATTCGGATGGTCGGCCAATACCCTTAGATTTGATAATGGAAGTAGGTTATTATCCCAATCAACGACTTGCAGATTTCTAAAATATGAGGCTTTTCCAAAACCTTCTCCTGCAAAGTGGCCGCTTCCCATTTGTGTAGAAGTGTGGAATCCTGATGGCCTAGAGTTAACAATCTCTCCACCAAATTGTACCATACTTGCGTGATCCCTTAGGTGAGTGAACAAAAATGATGGCCAATACCCTACTAGAACCCCATTTCCGAATTCTAGCCACCAATTTCCATGCTTTGGATCCTACAGAAAAGTTAAATTTAAATCGTTACTAATGTTTCTTTAAGACCATATAATAATGATAACTATGTTCATGGTAAAAAGCAAATGAGGTCTAAAATAGGGTGATATAAAGGGAATAAGTTTCTGCTTTGACAAAAAAAAAAAAAAAAATGATGGTTTTCTTACAAGGCTTGTTGTTAAACGATCATGTGAAAATTTGTAAGACAGGCCGGAAAAAAAAAAAAAAAAAAAAAAAAAAAGAGAGAGAGTAAAAATACAAATGATAAAGTATATAAAGAAAGTATGGAGGGGTCATGCGTCAGGAAGCTCTTTTGCTAGGAAAAGAAGAGAATCTAGCAAAGCAGAAAAGCATAAGGGAATTACAGACACTATTTGAAGTTATGAGCGCACGCCAATTTTGGCCCATGTATGTTTGAGCTACATTATTTTGTAAGGTCGGTAGTATTTGACAATTTTGTCTCGAAGCATCTTGGTGCAAACAATTTTGTCTCTTAATACCTAGGTCCATCATGGACCATCCGATTTGGAGACCAAGGGAGTCTTTTTTACCAAACTTTTTTTTAAAAAAAATATTTGTAAGTATTTTCAGATCAATTTTCAGATGTTCCAAATTTTTTTGCCTAATATTTAAAAAAGTAATCACATTGGATGGTTTAAAATCTAAAATCACCTATCACTTAATTCTGATTTTATATGTATGTATAAATGGTGGGTCCAAAAGATCTTGACAGTGGAAGCTAGATTACAATCCACGCATATATATTCACAAAAATAGTACTGTACTCTTTATTTTATTCTCGTTCAAGCTAATTTATCTATATAAGGGCATAACATGTGACTCGTTTCATGTCCGATGTTCTATTTTGGTGTTTTTAGGGACTGCGATTGAAAGGGGGAAGAAAAAAGCAAAGAATTTAAAATTTACCTTCCAAACCAATAAGCTAATATCAAACTGTCCTCCACCGTAGGAAGAAGTTGGAGAGATAGCAGCTCCAATTGCAATTCTATTGTTGGTTTGAACGAAGCCTGAACACAGCAAGTTGTAGCATCCAGTTGCTTGATAAGCGTCAGTCTGTATATCGTTAGAAATTAAGTTATTAATTACAAAGTCGCCAAATCATGATTAATGTTACAGTTGAAGGTAGGACACGGAAAGAGTAAATGAAAGAAGAAGAAGCCAAATTATGTATATATACTCACAGTCCAGTATGTAAAGAACCGTGGATAGCTGTCCCCGTATAGTTCCGGGCTAACCTGCAAATAAATATTTAATGGATTAACATCATTAGCTACATCACAAAAATTAATGAAAGTGGGAGGTAGTTGAGTTCTGAGAACTGCTTTAAATGTGAAAACTAGATATTAATCAATCTGTTCAAAATCTACATCTTGTTTTCCATAATTCAGAAGTTGAAGCTATGTTATATATATATATATACATGATCATAAAGAGGTAATTGCATTTGACATTTAAGCACGATCACTCAATCCTTAATTATTATTCTTCCATTAATGGTGAATTGGGTAGAACTAAGCTACAGTAGTTGGTGCTTTTGCAAAAATATATATAGGCTTGTTCAGGAAAAAATGAAAATAATTAAGAAATACTCAAAGAGTAATTTGTTAATTACTAATATCTATCTTTGTTGAAAGAGGGCTTTTGGTGGGAGATTAGTCCCAAATATACCTGCCAACCAGCTTCAATGGTGTTGAGATCGTCACCGAATGAACCAGAAATGACCCACAATTGTGACAAGCTGAATTCATATTGATTAGAAACACTTGGTGCCCACACATTTATGCTGGCTTTTGCTCCATAATATTGATCTCCGGTCACATATCCAACCGCATGCTGTAACCCAACAGTTTGAAAGCAAAGGACAATAAATATACGTTGGAAACTTCAAGTGTTAAGCCTACTGTCTCTTTCGAGATGTTAATATTAGTGGCCCTTGAGGTTATATTCTTGATGGTACCATACATGAACCTGAGTTGCTAGATTAGATGTGCTCTCTTTTCTTTTTCTTTGAAATTGGTGGGTCTTCATTTACTGACCTTGATCTTCTAGGCATTAGCTCATACATAGTCTAAAGATAAAGAAAACCAAGAAAGTTTGGAATTACTGTTGATATCTGACTAAGTTTTGTTTTTATTTCCTTCTTCTATTTTTGTAGAAGAAAAGAACACTCTGCAGCTAGAAATCCCAAGATTGACGGAAAATGCGTGCAGATCACCGTTTTTTAACCATTACTTCAGTCAATTTTACTTAATTCTACGCAAATGCACGTGTTTTTTTTTTTTTTTTTGAAAAAAAAAAGATCAAACACCAAATCCAATTGCATATCCAATTCAAACAAGAAAAAGAAAAGAATAATGAGGGAGGACTTCCATTTGTTTCAATAAATCTAAAGGCTTTAAAAATTCAAAAAGCAGTTTTTTGTTTCTCTTAAGCTTTTAATCTTTCTTTGTATTTTTAATACGATGGTTGCCTTCAGAAAAAGCAACATGAAAAAAGAAGAGACAATTAGCAGGTCGGTCAGACCTTCACCATTTTGTTTGACCACTTTCTTTCGTGTTGTTAAGCTGATTAAGGCTGTAGGTAACAGAAAAGAAGGGTAAAGAAAAGATAAGAGAAGAGAAGGAAAAACGAAAAAAAGGAAAGAAAAAAAAAAAAGGTTCTGTTTCTTCTCTTCTAATGTGAGAAATTCTTATTTGGATACTAACCTCATGGCCATTGCTGTTAGTATCTCTTCTAACATGCCTTCTTAGTTTTCTGCCAAATCTTCTTATGGAACTTGCTCTCAGCATGTCTTGTTCCGTTGTTCTTCTGATAGGAACTGTCCCTTCTGGGCATGATTCACCAGACAAACCCCACAATTGAAAATTCTCAGTTACCATGCCTGTTGGATCATGGCCTTTCGGGCTCTCTGGAGGCTCCTGCAAATTCATGCAAAAAATATAAAATTTAACACTTTTAACATCAATATATATAGTTCAGCTTGAAAGCATGACTTAATTTCCCAAGAAGAATCATCAAAGTTGAAACGTATGAAGGAGTACGGTAGAATTCAAGTACCAATGGTTTTTGTCCTTTGAGTTGAGGGTGATCAAAAGCTGGTTGCTGATGGGACGAAACACAGTCTATAAGATCACCATCAGGGCTCTGCAGTGACAAAGAAGAACCAAACATGTTAAACCAAAAAAAAAAAAAAAACTGGACAATAACAGGGGAAATGAAATTCAAAACCCAGTATAGAATGGGGTTATATAGTGTTAGGGACAAAAGTCGAATGCCTGAATTGTCTTGACAGCAGGCTTGTTAATCTTCTCGAGATGCTCTCTTATAATCTTCAGCTTTTGTAACTCTTCTTGGGGTCGGAAAGTTTGGTTGGTTGCATGGCGACTGCCGGTTTCCGAGGAAAAAACAGGACAAATCTTCGAAGAAACAACAAGAAGAAAGCATACAAAGCTTGAAATAACGGGTGGGATCTTCTTATTACACCAACTAGAAGCCATGTTTGAAAAATTTCCCTGTCTTGTTTTGTTTGCCGAATCTGGACTAGTAGTACCTGTTTGTTGTGCACATTGATGTTGTCTTCTTCTATGATCAAAATAATTCCACTTCTTCCTAGTTTTTGTATCCATCCAGCACATAATCACCATTCTAAGCAACTGCATTCAATCTCTCACCATTTCCAAAGCTCTTGAATCCCCCAAAAATAACAAAACTAAGATTTCTTCTCTCTTTATCTGTGTTTCTTCTCTCTCTATTCTCTCGGAGTCGCAGCTTCTAATACTCCACCTTGGTTTTATGTGTCTGACACCTAGAATTTCTAAGCACGAGCTGATTAAAATACTAGCACACTGTTGGGCTGGGTTTTCTTAAAGTTTTACCCATCTGGTCGTTGAGTTATAAATACTGGGTAGTGATGAAATCATGCTTAGTTTCTTTTTTTTTAAAAAAAAAAAAAACTATATACTCCTATATTAAAAAAGAAATTGGAGAGAGAGAGAGAGAGAGAGACGACGACGATGATGACGATGAGAGGGTATGTTTCCAGTCTCCGATACAAGGACTGAAACTTTAGCTTTTGTGTTAGTTTTACAGGGGTACTGAGTTCTGTTATTCTTTACTTTGGATTTGAGGACAGATTGGAATTACACTTGATTCTGGGTTTCCAAAGTTCGTTGCTTTGAGGTGTTCTCTTTCTCACTTCCCTAGATGTTCTTTGTGTCAGCAACTCGATTTTTATGATACTCCATTTAATTACTTACCATTATTTAACAAACTAAAGCTAGCCTACTTTCATCGACCTAAAATTTGTTTTATCATTCATTTTCTAGGTTTGGATAATTTTGAAAATAAATGAGTAATTAATCAAAAAAAGGAATCACATATTGCTGCCACTAGTTATTATAGGTGTTCATTTATTATAAGAAAATAACAATTAATAAGCTCCCAAAGACAAAAATCAGGACTTTAGGAATGGAAGTGTCAATAGAAGATAGATTTACGTTAGAATGATAAATAATGTTTTGGGGTGAGCAAAGTGAAATAAGGCTTAAATTTAAGGGTAAAATAGAAAATTTGCAAAACTTTTAGAATTAGAATAAAAATTTTATCCAAGTTTGGGATGCCCTGAGCCAAGCAACAAGGTAAAGTCCATTTGCGGCAAATCGGCAATAAACCAATACGTTCTATCGTTTTTTTTTTTTACTAATAAGTATATGTACTAATCAACTTATATTTTTTAATAATAAATAAAAATGAGATTATAAATGGGTTAGCTACATATCCGGTAGAAAACATTATGTCTATACATCTACAAATATTTGAAGAAATCCACCATGCACATGCCGTGATTAATAGATACTTAAAATAATTTTACGAGTACGATTGAATGTACGTAAATAAAATCACTTTTATAAAAATTTATAAGCGGCAGAATTTGAATCTTAAACCTCAAACTTTCTTCTTCTTTTTTTAACAAAATCTTCTTTTTATTACTTGAACTAATTTTTGAAGTGTAATCACATAATTTGAAATCTTAATTAGTTAAATAGCTTTGAGTTTTATAGAAACAAAATTTTGAGATGGGGATAATTCAATCAAACAGACTCTCTTAATTATAATTTGCATGGATTTAAATTATTCTATGTTTAATTTATATACCTCCATGATCTTGTAGTAAAGAGTAATCTTGTCACCATTAAAAAAGACATATTAGTCTTTTCGTACTTTTTCTCTTCAAAACCTTAGAAACTTAATCTTGCAAAGGTGTCTATGCTTTCTCAGGGTTTTCATGAAAAATAATCCAAGAAAAAAAGGGAGAGACTTTAAAAGGCAATAATAAAGGTGCCCATGAATATTAATCACAATTAACACAATATTTTATCACATGATAAATTATTTTTAAATTAATTTTTATGTTAATCAAGACTAAATTGTTCTTGAATAATTTTAAAAACACTTTTTTTTTTCATATAGATATCTAGTGTATTTAGATAAATCTCATAAATTTTTTTAGATACTATCCCCAGAGTTTGAACCCAACAAACCAAATATGGAAGAAAACCTCTTTAATTACCAAACCAGCCTCTTAATAAGATTAAGGTAGAAAATTATGAGTAAAACTTTTAACTTTATTTACGTGTAAATAGATATGTCAATATATATATTTGCACAGTCACGGTCTCTCTTTCTATCTCTTCGGTCTTCCATTAGGAAAAACTCCAGCCATCTTCGATGACTTTCTGACGAGTGAGAATCGTTTTGTCTCTATTATTACTCTTTTGTTGTGTTAATTTTTAATTTACCCTTATATATTTGACATATTTTCTCATATATCCTTTTAAGGATTTTCCACTTTTATATGCGTTTGTATATTGGTATTTTCTATCATATGCATCAGTTTTTACTACTTCTTTATATAAGAAGCTATTTTTAATAATAAAAAATTCGCAAGGAATACTGAGAGAACAGTGTCATTGAGGAGCAAAATTAGAGAGATTAGTGATTTACCCAATACCTATAACAAACAACCCTCACCAGCTTTTCTTTTCCTTTTTCTTGTCGTTTTTTTATTTTTTTGAGTGGAAAGGTAGCACTTGCACATGAAAATAACGAACAAATTACGGAAAAAAAAAAACATTATAAATCGTTAATATTTAGACTTAATTGTGTTTCTCCAAAAGTACCCCTGTCGCGTACCTTTTTTAGCCGTCGTTTTCCATGAGGGAAGGTAATTTCCAATAGTGTTGGTGTTGGGCATGCTGTGTTGGCACGCGCACCTGGTTATGTGCACCTGCATGCTTACGTTACGCTTACACACGCACTCGTGCAGCTGCGCTTTGCTTCCGCGTTGTTTTTTTCCTCTAGCAAACAATTATTTATTCGACCCCAATGCGAAATAGTGAGATAATTAATAGTTTTGGATTAAAAAAGCATACAGTGAATTCCTATATATTTAGTGTATTGGAGTATATAAATTAGTACATATCGTAGTACGAGTAATTTTGTTTTGGTAAATTACTTTGGTGTTATGACATCAATCATATATAGTAATTAAATAAAAAAAAGATTTTGAATGAATAGCTTATATATAAAAATATATTAAATACTTAATTAATAAACATGAATGATATTTTATCTCACCGTCTTATTATTTTAAATCACATTTACGATTGTTAAGTTAAGTAATAACTATAAACTAATTATAAAAAAATATGTATTTTATAAGTGATGATATGTTTGTTGATATGATCATATTTTTATCAATCACATTTAATATAATGGAGCCTCTTATACATAATAAATATAATTATATATTAAAATATAAATATGATAATAGATAATCTAATATGTTTTTTAAAGGTTGGTTTTGATCACAAATATTTATTAAATATCTACAATTGAAAAATCATGCAAACAATTTTAGAAATAAAACTATATAAATCATCATATGTATGATCCTAACATTTAATATTATCAAATTACTACGTATTTTTATATCACAATTAATTACTATCATTATAGCAATCTTTCTAAATTATTTGTGAACAGGAGTCATTTATTCAAGCGAAATGTATTTATATTAAATGAACACCTAAAGTACATTATGTGAACTTTTTTTTATACACATAATAGTATTTCTTAAAATAGAGAAAAAAACTTATGGAGCCGTTCAATTCTCCAAAAGTTTTCCGCTTTAATTTTTTACTACATAGCTACCGCCATTGGGTAGCATTTTTTTTTTTTTTTTCAGTGCTCCTTTCAATAGTTTTAGATCTAGTATTTTTTCTCTATCAAATCTGACATTTTTTTTATATTTATTTAATTTATTTGGTATTTGTCCAGTTTTTTTTATATTTATCTTAAACTAAGATTGGTTTTTATTATTTTTTTATGTCCTTTTATCCTTTCACGGATCTTTGACTGTAATGTAAATTTTACATAAAATGCTAATAAATAAATATTTATAAATTTTTTGTAGTTAAAAAAAAAAGTATCAACTTGGAGATCAATGTAGCAGACTATTGATAGATTGCTCACAAAAAGTGTTTTAGCTTTTCGTTTTTAAAATTTTTTATATATGGATTCTACATTTTTAGTTTCTATTTAAGGTTTTCATTGTATGTTTTTAGTATTTTTACAGTGACATGCAAATCCATTTCATTCTCTTCATAGAGATTTTATTTTATTTTTATTTTTTTAATTTGGTTGGCTTCTAATCTAGAGACAGAAGCTTTCTTCAATTTTAATTCAATGAATACGCTATTTTTGGCAAAAGAAAAAAAATGTGAACAATTAAAAAAAAAAAGACTTTTAGTATGATAACATGACATTAGAATGAATTGATCATATGTGATGTGAATAGAATTTATTGGCACATGCAAGAATAAAAAAAGGGTTAAAAGGGCCTTTTTTTTCTTCTGAATTTTAATTTATTTAAAAATCAGTCCTTGAAATTTTAATTTGTATTTTGACATCCTTATATATATATATATATATATATGATTTTTAGCTATCACTTCTTTCTTTTAAAAAAAATTCAATTCTTGATATTTTGATCTGAAATTTTGCATACATATTATAAAATATCAAATCTATTTTCTAAAAAAATTACAAAATTTTTTCAAGGTCAAGAGTTATTATTATTATTTTTAGCAATAAAAATATAGAAAATCAGAAAATAACCCAGAATGATCATAATTTTTAAGAAGCTCTAAATAAATTTTATTAAATTATTTCTATCATTGGAATATTTATGCAATTTTATTTTTTGGGATAAATGATAAACTAAAAAATATACTAAATCTTAAAAAAAAAAAAAAAGGTTTAAGGAGGTCAAAACACAAATTAAAATTTCAGATATGACTTTTTAAAAAAACTAAAGTTCAGGCCTTTTTATCCATAAAAAAATTTATGAACTTTTAATTTAACTAATATTTTTTAAGTTGAAGAATTTGTTAAAAGTCAGATAATACAAATTTTATGAATCAGTTTGTCCAAAGGTGTAAGTTATAATACAAGACAATAAAAAAAAATCCAATAAAAAATAAGGATCTAATTTAATAATTTGATCTACTTTGATGTGATTTTATTATTTTCGGATTTTAATATCATTGATTTTTTGAGCTTCTTATTAAGCATTTTTTAGTTT